GGGTTTTGTTAGAAGTCTATGGCACGTCATACAGGTTGTAGAATCTCAAGTCGTTCAATCGTCTTAAGACCACGTGGCGTGGGGACGGCTAAAAGTAAAAGTTTTGGGGTCCCTTGGTAGAGAACAAAAGTAAGAATATGGGCAGAGGGAGAGTAAAGGGGGAAAAGATCCATCGAGAACTCCCGCCCCGTGTTACAATGGTGCACTGCGGTGGTTTCAACAATTTTGTTTGAAATTGTTGAAAGGCTCACGCGTCTAGCCATTCGGACACGTGCGTGGATGCTAGGGAGACAGCCGCGGGCCAGGATTAGCAGTGCGCCTCACAACAGTGCATTTGAGTGGGGATTGGCGAATCTTGGGGTCATGCGGGCTGATATGATTAAGGTTTAGTTAGTAAGATTAGGCTGTTAAGATTTATTGAATAGGAGACCGCTCCGAGTTGATTGGACTGGGTACCTACTCGACCCATTGCAATTGATTGAGAAGTGTTCGGAGCCACCATACTCTCAACAGCAGTTCCTTGTGGGCTGTCTGGGCGGATTTATCTGTGGGACGCCAGGAGATAGGTACGAGGGCGTTGTTAGACGACCCAAAACGCTAGGAAAAACGTAAATCTGCGAAGGGTGTTGAGGCTTCCGAGGGACGGACTAGTAACCTACCTAGCAACGATTCAACAACTAAGTGATCGCACACTTAGTGGAGGTTGAGTCGCCTCTAGTCTTAATTGTTGCTGAAAGCTGCGTGTCACTCTGTTAGAACCTAGATGGTCGAGCCCCTAGGCTAGGCGCGGTACGGCGAGCCGGTAGGAGCAATTATAGGATTAAGTCGAGTGTATCTTTGAATTAAGTATACTTAAATTTATAAAGTATATCCGTTTATTTGCGTTGTTCTAGAGATTATTTTTTTTTCCCCTAAATTCAATCCCCGATTAAATTTTTTTTCCCAAGTGTTAGTATTTTCTGGCATATTAGGCTAAGTGCGTACATTAAGCTTTGCTATTCCCTGTTGTATTAGTCTAAGTCAGAGGCGTTGTTGCTAGAGTGTAGTTAATCCTCTGGACTTAGGGCTATATGTCGGTCACTATAGTTAGTGAAGGAGTTTGTTAAGGGATAGTAATTTTCGTTGTAAATGTTTAATAGAGCTCGTGGAAATATTTCTAAGTATTTTGGGATAAGTTTTCGGCTAAGTCAACGTCGGAAAGTCGTTAACTATAATTAATTGGTATTCGCGAGTAATGTATATGATCTGGGTAAAACTAGGATTCCCCAGTCGATGCGAGTGATATTATTCTAGTTTACCAGTAAGACAATAGAATTGCGTTTTTAGACATAGAATTTTTTTGTGGAAACGTATTTGGAAAATTTTCTAAGTCCAGCTTGGGCTTGAATCTGACTTTTTGGCGAAAATTCGAAATTTCATGTTTCGTGTATATTCTAGGGTCAGTATTACCCTCTAGTGCGCGCAAGGGACGTAATTCTGTTCTTAAGCATTCAACAGTGATAATTACATTTTTGCCGAATTTAGTTATTTTTTTTGGAGAAAATCGTGTTGTAATTTTGTCAGAGTCCACTTGAGGTGAAAATCTCGGATTTTGACGAAAATTCGAATTAATGAGTGTCGAAACCGCCCGAGGTGTCAGTATTGTTCTGCGTACAGTGTCAGTATTAAATAACAGCGTATTTTTATCTGTGAACGAGAAACCCATTTTTGCGAATTATGGGAGTTTTGCGATGTTTGGGGTGATAGATTTTTTTTCTGGGTGCAGAAAAATTGGTCGAGTTCAGTAGTTGAGTAAAAACGCAGTTTTTGATAAAAATTCAATTGTGGCAAGCAAATATATGTCCTGGGTGTCTATATTAATCGCTAGAACGGTTTAGTAAAGTAAAACTAGTTATTTTCCTTCAAAACAAAAATTTAGATTTTTCAGCGTTTAAGCGAAAAAGCGCGGGACTTAGTTTTTTTTCAGCGCGGCTGGTCCTGCTCCATCAGTCTCAGTGGCCACGCTGTTCACATCAAGTGCGTTTAGTATTCAAGTAGAGTAAATATTCTTTATTAATCCATCACAAGTGCTGCGCGGTAGTTGCGTTATCATTTAAATTGTTTTATATGAATTAGATTCTTTATTTTTTTTAACGTAAAGGACTTAGGTTTCAGTAATAGAACTGCGGGATATTTGACGGTCAGACACAAGTGCGGGGCAGACACTCATTCATTGAATTCACTTCAGCGATTCTTTCGAGTAATCGTGCTATTTCCTATTTTGGGAATTTCACTGGTTTTCTCTTGGAAAAGAGTTGATTTTTTTTTTTTGTGTAAGATCACGGTTGTAGTGAGTCCGGGTCGAGGGTGCATTGAAGGGTAGTTACAAGAGACATGGCACACCAGAAACCTCAGGAAATGTTTAACCCAGACAGTGACCAGTCAGTAGGGACCAGTGGGAGTGGAAGTGTAGAGGACAGCACCTCTTCCGACACCACTGGGGACCGCTCAGGTAGCTCAGCTGACGCCACAGGTGGGGTCAGTGGGACTGAGGCGACGAGTTCACGGGTTCCGCATGGGACTGGGCAGGCGAGGGTATCTTCCCATTCCAGTACAGATACGATTATTGACATGAGTGGGGAGGTTCGCGAGGATTCGTCCCAAGAGTGGGGGGGAGCCGTCTTGGGTTCCCCCACAAATAACATCGACGCCATACCAACAGGGCACACAGGGAGCTGGACAGGGGGCTTCAGTTAGTACAGTAGGACGTCCCACTTCCCTCAGTAGAGAACATCACCAGCAACCTGTTCAACGGGAACAGGAACAGCCCCACCAACAGCAGGAACTACCCCACATAACACCAATACCACAACACCTAGGTACACCTCATCCGTCACTACAACAACCCCAACCCCACCTCCCATACCAACCCCATCCTCAATTCCCATACCAACCCCATCCTCACTTCCTATACTAGCCCCAACCTCCATTCCAATACCCACCCTTCCCCCAACCCAGGCCACTCCATATCCATTCCAACCCCAGGCCATCCCATATCCATTCCAACAGGCCACCCCATATCCATTCCAACAGGCCACCCCATATCCATTCCAACAGGCCACCCCATATCCATTCCAACAGGCCACCCCATATCCATTCTAACAGACCACCCCATACCCATTCCAACCCCAGGCCACCCCATACCCATCCCAACCCCAGGCCACCCACACGGTACCTGAACCCCAACCTCATTCCACACCCCAACCCGAGGCCACCCACACCTCAGTGCTCATGTGTTGTACAACTTGGGGGAGTGCTTATGTGCAGTACAGCTTGGAGGAGTGCTCATGTTCAGTTCAAGTTGTAGGAACTTCAAATTATTTTCCTATTTAACATATCTAGTATAATTTATCATATGAATCATAAAGCTTAACACTTTATCACGTTATTAATGAATTTGTTATTAGATAAATGCTCCAGGTTACACACACTCGGTCTTAGTGATGACCTGCCAGGCCTCGAAGGTGCTCCTCGAGGGACGCAAGTCAAGTGTTACTCCAAGGTCAGGAGGCAGGTGTTACTCCAAGGTCAGGAGGCAGGTGTTACTCCAAGGTCAGGAGGCAGGTGTTACCACAAGGTCAGGAGGCAGGTGTTACTCCAAGGTCAGGAGGCAGGTGTTACTCCAAGGTCAGGAGGCAGGTGTTACTCCAAGGTCAGGAGGCAGGTGTTACTCAAAGGTCAGGAGGCAAGTGTTACTCCAAGGTCAGGAGGCAGATGTTATTCCAAGGTCAGGAGACAAGTGTTACTCCAAGGTCAGGAGGCAGGTGTTACCACAAGGTCAGGAGGCAGGTGTTACTCCAAGGTCAGGAGGCAGGTGTTACTCCAAGGTCAGGAGGCAGGTGTTACTCCAAGGTCAGGAGGCAGGTGTTACTCCAAGGTCAGGAGGCAAGTGTTACTCCAAGGTCAGGAGGCAGGTGTTACCACAAGGTCAGGAGGCAGGTGTTACTCCAAGGTCAGGAGGCAGGTGTTACTCCAAGGTCAGGAGGCAGGTGTTACTCAAAGGTCAGGAGGCAGGTGTTACTCCAAGGTCAGGAGGCGAGAGTTACTCCAAGGTCAGGAGGCAGGTGTTACTCCAAGGTCAGGAGGCAAGTGCTACTCCAAGGTCAGGTGTTACTCCAAGATCAGGAGGCAAGTGTTACTCCAAGGTCATGAGGCAGGTGTTACTCCAAGGTCAGGAGGCAAGTGGTACTCCAAGGTCAGGAGGCAGATGTTACCCCAAGGTCAGGAGGCAGATGTTACCCCAAGGTCAGTAGGCAGGTGTTACTCCAAGGTCAGGAGGCAAGTGTTACTCCAAGGTCAGGAGGTAAGTGTTACTCCAAGGTCAGGAGGCAAGTGTTACTCCAAGGTCAGGAGGCAAGTGTTACTCCAAGGTCAGGAGGCAAGTGTTGTCGGAAAAAAACGACCTCCTTTAATAATTTTAGTTACAATAACCAACTAATAGTGTTGCTGTTCTTGTACGAATCCATTAAGCCATACTAACCCAAATTAATTTAATAACTCTTTGAAAGAAAACGAGATTACAGTAAAATTTTTACTTAAACATGAGATATACATTGCCACGTCATCACAAAATATATTAATAAAATATCAACAATCATTAAAACCCTCAGTCCAGCATTATAAAGAATAAAAAACTGTTCCCTGTGACTAGATCAAATCAATTCATAATTAAAATCTTCGCCTCCCAACCTTTGGCCATAAATAGAAAGAAATTGAACCGGTTCTGGAGGCGTCACCAGACATCGAGGGGGGGGGGGGGGCAGGGAGGTAGCCATTGTTGAAACAGCATTGCTCTCCAGAACAACTTTATTTATATTACTTTCAAGCTGCATCACTTATGAACCCATCCCTGCCCTTGAGTGGCAGTGCACAATAGAAAGTTGTTTTTACATATTCATACATTAAAACATTGAGTGTAACCATGATATATATATGTGCCAGTTTAGACCTATTGTCGTGTGTATGACCCTCTGTCCTGCGTGACAGTGAATACCAGCATTATCCTCACTTTAATAAGACTTAATTGAAATCCTCAGATTAGGCATAATTGTAATTAATTTTGTCAATAAAGATGTTAATAATAAATAAGTGAGGTAGCACAAAGAATCAGCTACAGTTGTACTCGTAACCCGAGCCATCCTTTTGTTCTTCAGCTGCCGTAACCTCTAAATAATGAGAGTACCTCGTATCCGGTTAGTCAAAGTAATACATCTTATTACAGGGCCCAATAATATAATAATTATAGCTAACCGGTGATGAGTCAGGTAAACCAATAAAACATGGTAAGCCTCTCACAATCACTCAACTAAACATAATTAACGTGCCATATCTGTGATAGGAAGTATATTTGCAGTTATTATATTGTATTCATCTGGCAAATCTTCTGTGGTCACCAGGGAAACCAAGCGACCTCAACCGGTTGTTTCACATGAGAACAGACACCATAGACCACGAGGCTCTTATTTGGCAGATTGCTCACAACCCAACAGTTGTATCCACACTGAAGCCTTCAAATCAGTTAAGGCGTTGAGTACAAAACTAATACCAGTAGATTATTAAACTAAAATTTAGTATAAATTTTCCTGTCAATTGATATGTTCTCGATTGATAGGTACTATAATTAATTAACCCCCCTCTTGTGTTTGGATATGACATGTGGGAGAATTTAAATCCATACAGCCCGCTCAATATGGCATACAATTCACTAAGCTATCGAATGAAATAATAAAAAAAATAATTATACATCATAAATAAACATTCTTTAAATATATAAATTAAAAATAATTAAAATAAAATAAATAAAATCCCATGAGTCAGAATTCCCCACATGTGTTACTCCAAAGTCAGGAGGCAAGTGCTCCTCCAAGATCAGGAGGCTGGTGATACTCCAAGGTCATGAGGAAGGTGTTACTCCAAGGACATAAAGCACCTGATACTTCAAAGACAGAAGGCAGGTATTGTTCCTAGGACAATTTTAGTTTCTCACAAATAACTGCACGTTTGGTATTGCAAGAATCATCGAAGAAAAAATAATGATCTTCCTTTAACATCACTATGCAGTTTTGAGCGGTTCCTCCGTCGGGCTCCTGAATATTGTCAGTAGTGCCGTCACCCCAAAAGGGGGTTCCCATCTTGACCTGGGTACCATCAGTCCAGAAGTAAGATCCCTCGTGGCCTTCATCTCTCCCACCGACCCAGTAAGACAACTTAGCCAGACCTGCGGACATATTGAAGAACAGGAGAATATTGACAGAAAGAAATTATTGTTATAATACAGTTTTCAGGAACGACATAGGTCTTGAGCTGAAGAACTCACCGTTACTGTGAAGGTACCTGACGAGGTAATACATGAAGTTGCCACAGTCAACCTTGGCAATCTCGCCGCCCTTCTGCTGACAGTGACGTCTCATAGTTTCCCAAGATCCCGTCAGTGCCGTCTCCACCAAGATACAGTGACCATACACGTCCACAAACGGTGCCATGCACTCCACGGCCCCTGTGGGCGACAGAGCACAAGCCTCATGCAGATGAATATATTAGGCAACTCTTATGTCGAGGCTTTCATATTCAATGAAACATTACTTAAGATTTTTAGTACAATGTAATGTGTCAACAAGGTCATGTCAAGCTTGTGCTTTGTTGAGGTGAGCTCTTAGCTAATGAAACCTATGAACTACATGGTCAGGTGAACAAGAGAACTACAAGGTCAGGTGAACAAGGGAACTACAAGGTCAGGTGAACCAGGGGAACAGTTTTCGAATACGACATGTGCCTTCTCTTAATGCTAAAGAGGCCCATCAGACAAGTGAACATTTGATGTCAAATGAATTTACGTATTCATCAATAGTGAACGCCCCTTAATACAGATGGCTTTAAGTGTGTGCAGCCACCTATGGTCACTGGTGGTGGCAATGATGAGCAGTTTTGAACTTCGTCGTGACGTTTTTGGATAATGTTGTTGATAGTGATGCTGTTTTATAACTTCTTTGTCTCTAATGGGGAACACTATTACCCTTACCAGCATCTTGGGGGAACACCATTACCCTCACCATTATTAGGGAACACCATAATACTCACCATCATATTAGGGAACACCATAACCCTCACCATCATATTACAGAACTCCATAACCCTCACCATCTTATTAGAAAACACCATAACCCTCACCATCATATTAGGGAACACTATAACCCTCACTATCATTATGCTGGAACACTACTACCTTTACCAGCATCTTGGAGAACACCTTAACCTTCACTATCATCTTGGGGAACACTATTACCCTTACCATCATCTTAGAGAACACCATAACCCTCACTATCATTATGCTGGAACACTATTACCCTTACCAGCATCTTGGGAACACCAAAACCTTCATTATCATCTTGAGGAACACCATAACCCTCACCATCATATTAGGGAACACCATAACCTTCACCTTCATATTAGGGAACACCATTACCTTCACCATCATATTAGGGAACACCATAACCTTCACCTTCATATTAGGGATCACCATAACCTTCGCTATCACCATGGGGAACAATATTACCCTTACCAGCATCTTGGGGAACACCATTAGCTTTAACAACGTTCTGCAAAGCCGCTATTTCTGGAAAGGGAAAACAAATTATGTGATTAATTTCTGATTAAGATCTTGATAACCAAATATTTATAAAATTGACATTCATTAATCAAGAAGAGTCGTTTAAAATTACTTTATTAAACAATAAACTATTCATCTAGAATTTGTTAACAAATCAGTATGTAAAAGTTTCAATAATCCTCCAGAGCAGTGATCCTCAAACGGGTCGAGGCGCTTGACACCCAGAAGAGGAATATCTGTTAAGAGGATGAACTCTAAACTGAGAAAGACCGTACTCAGTACACTATATACATATCAAATGTAATGCCAATACACAGTTAAGCAGTCATTCAATAATGTCTGGCTCCTCAGAGTGCTTCTGCCACAACACACTTGCAAAGTGTACTAGAAATGAGCCAGGTTGCACCATACTCTCTTGTGGTTAGTTGACAAACAAATTAAGAACAAGTGTTTACTAGTTGTGTTTACTAGTTGTGTTTTTGCGGGGGTTGAGCTTTGCTCTTTCGGCCCGCCTCTCAACTGTCAATCAACTGTTTACTAACTACTTTTTTTTTTCTTTTTTTTCCCACACCACACACACACACACACCCCAGGAAGCAGCCCGTGACAGCTGACTAACTCCCAGGTACCTATTTACTGCTAAGTAACAGGGGCACTTAGGGTGAAAGAAACTTTGCCCATTTGTTTCTGCCTCGTGCGGGAATCGAACCCGCGCCACAGAATTACGAGTACTGCGCGCTATCCACCAGGCTACGAGGCCTCTCAGATGTACAAAGGCAAGAGCCACTCACCGGAGGTAATGTTTGATTGCAGGTCGTTCAGCCACTCTCTTATTACTGAAATATAAACGACGAAAACCACATTACAATAACATGGTCGGTAATGAATAGAGTTAACAGTAGTTTATGTAGTCTTGGTCGCTTCTGTCTTATATCCCTCTGTTGTCTCCTAAACCTACAATATCTGTGATCTCTTGAACCTACAATGTCTGTTATCTCCTGAACCTTCATTGTATGTTATCTCCTAAACCTGCAATGTATGTTACCTCCTAAAAGTTCGGTGTCCGTTATCATAACGATAAATTTGTGATCAGCTTAGGTTATAATGTTGACAAATTATTACGACTATTGAGAAGGAAACTGTAATTAAATAAGAAAATAACTGACCAAGGTACTGACTAGAAAAGAATAATTTCATTTAAAGAAATATAATCACTGAACTTCACTCCAACACCAGCTGTGTCATCCATGTCAGCTACACTTACTGTAACACCACACTCCAACACCAGCTCTGCCATCCATCTCAGCTACACTTTCTGCCACACCCACTTCAACACCACTTCTATCATCCATCTCATCTACACTTTCTGCCACACCCACTTCAACACCACTTCTATCATCCATCTCATCTACACTTTCTGTCACACCCACTTCAACACCACTTCTATCATCCATCTCAGCTACACTTTCTGCCACACCCACTTCAACACCACTTCTATCATCATCCATCTCAGCTACACTTTCTGCCACACCCACTTCAACACCACTTCTATCATCATCCATCTCAGCTACACTTTCTGCCACACCCACTTCAACACCACTTCTATCATTATCCATCTCAGCTACACTTTCTGCCACACCACACTTCAACACCTGGTCTATCATCCATAAAAGCTACACTTACTGCCACACTACACTCCAACACCAGCACTATCATCCAACTGGATAACACTTTCCACCACAGCAAACTTCAACAGTTCCTACGTGACTGTGAACCTGCTCCAGTAGTCTCCTTACCTCTGGTTCCGGAGTCACGTTCAGCCAGCATGTTGGACATTGCCAGCTGGTTGAGGAGCAGCGTGTTGGACAGATCTTGAAGTGTCTGAATCTCTTGGGCAGCCGTCACCAGCGCCAGCACCGACAGCAGGATGGCTGAGAATGTTGCCATGGCGACCTCTCGGTGATCTTTGGGGGAGTGAGGCAGGCACCCGTTGTTGCTTTATTTATACACTCGCCTGGCATGGATACACGCAGGCACGCACGCACTCACGCACACATACACACACACACACACACTCACACACACACACACACACACACACACACACACACACACACACACACACACACACACACACACACACACACAAAGAGAATAACGTCTGCGGCATATGCGAGGCTGGCTAACATCAGAACGGCGTTCAGGAACCTGTGTAAGGAATCATTCAGAATCTTGTACACCACATATGTAAGACCAATCCTGGAGTATGCGGCCCCAGCATGGAGCCCGTACCTTGTCAAGCACAAGACGAAGCTGGAAAAAGTCCAAAGGTATGCTACTAGACTAGTCCCAGAACTAAGAGGCATGAGTTATGAGGAAAGGCTGCGGGAAATGCACCTCACGACACTGGAAGACAGAAGAGTAAGGGGGGACATGATCACAACCTACAAAATCCTCAGGGGAATCGACAGGGTAAACAAGGATGAACTTTTCAACACTGGTGGGACGCGAACAAGGGGACACAGGTGGAAGCTGAGTACCCAAATGAGCCACAGAGACGTTAGAAAGAACTTTTTCAGTGTCAGAGTAGTTAGCAAATGGAATGCATTAGGAAGTGATGTGGTGGAGGCTGACTCCATTCACAGTTTCAAATGTAGATATGATAGAGCCCAATAGGCTCAGGAATCTGTACACCAGTTGATTGACGGTTGAGAGGCGGGACCAAAGAGCCAGAGCTCAACCCCCGCAAGCACAATTAGGTGAGTACAATTAGGTGAGTACACACACACACACACACACACACACACACACACACACACACACACACACACACACACACACACACACACACACACACACACACACACACACACACACACACACACACACACACACACACACACACACACACACACACACACACACACACACACACACACACACACACACACACACACACACACACACACACACACAGTCAGTTTGTGTTGAGTTGGGAGTTGAGAGGCGGGACCAAAGAGCCAGAGCTCAACCCCCGCAAGCACAACTAGGTGAGTACACACACACACACACACACACACACACACACACACACACACACACACACACACACACACACACACACACACACACACACACACACACACACACACACACACGCACGCGCGCGCGCGCACTATAACATAAAGGTATAGTGCTTTTGAAAAAAAGGTGAGATAACAGGAATGTGCCAAGGGAAGTGAAAAATTGGATGAGAAAAAGTTGCCCTAGTGTTTCCAGGGCAGAGAAGAACATTGAAGATGGCCGCCGGGAAGAGGAAATACAAAACAGACCTTGATTTTACTGGATTCAATGAAGAAAGCATTGATATAACCAGTCTATACAACAAGTTGGTAAAATTAGATAGTATAGTGAACTCTCATGTAGAAATAATTAGTAAATTGAAAGAAAGTAATGACCATTTAAATAGCAAAGTTGTATGTCTTGAGGGTTTAGTGAAAGACTTGCGCAAGGATAAGAATCAATTGGAAACAAATTGCAAAGCCATGAAAGAAGAAAATAAACTCTTAAAAATAGCTTTGGAAGAAGTTAAAGTAAATTTAAGCATAAATGAATACAATAGGTTAGGTAAGGAAATTCAACAGGAGAAACAGCTTTTGTCAGCACAGATAGAGGAAGTTACACAGAGAATAGAACAGTGCAAGAAAGATATGCAACTCACCTATGCACAAGTGGCCAAGGAGAAGGAAAAAATTGAAGAAGCAGTAAAGGAAATCAAACACTGCAGCAACCAAGATAAAACAAACATTAGGCTGGAAGTGAGAAAAGAATTGGCATCTAAGACCAAGTTGGTGCAAAACACAGTTGATCGGAGTAAGTCCCTGATAATTTTTGGCTGCAAAGAAAAGGAGATAACATCTTGGTCAGAAAGAGCTGTAGAAGAAGCAAAAGTAGTAGATAAAATTGTTGGCCTCGTGGAAGGTCTTACAACCATCGAGAATGTGTGCGACTACAGGAGAATAGGCAGATATGTAAAAGGGAAAGATCGACCTTTGAGGATCACCCTAAATGATGCCAAACAGATGGAAGTACTAAGAATGCTAGAAAAATACAAAGTGATGAGGATGGGAAAGTGTGGTCGTTAAGACGAGATCATTCAAAAGAAGATAGGGAGAAGCTGAAACTGAACCTCGCCGAAGCAAAACGTTTAAATGGGAGCAGGAATGAAGAAGAAATCAATTCTTTTTTCTACAAAGTGATAGGGGTAGACAGACCAGTAAAGTGGTACATAAAGGCAAACCAACATAATCATTAGAGAGAGGGGGAGTGAAAAATAAGAGGAGGGGGAACAAGTTCCTGAAGATTGCATACACCAACATAGATGGAGTAAGATCAAAGATACTGGAGTTAAGTGATGTAATACAGCTGCAGACACCAAACATTGTTGCACTCACGGAGACAAAACTTGAAGACGTTATTTTAAATGAGGTCATATTCCCAAGGGGCTACTCAATTTGGAGACGGGACAGAAAAATTAGGAAAGGCGGTGGCGTTGCTGTGCTGGTGAAAGAACACCTAAAGGTGAACGAAATAATGACTGCCAATCCACAAGAAGTTGACATAATAGCACTAGAGATCTGCCATGAGGATGATAAACTAATGATCATAAATGCATATAGTCCACCGCTAAGCAGCACATGGTCAAAGGAGGAGCTAGATAGTAAACGAGAAGGTCTTATAACAATAATGAGAGAGATCATAGCGAGAGCGGATACGATAGATCACGACTGTTGATAGTCGGCGACTTCAACTTGAAATCCATAGACTGGGAAGCATATGATGCTAAAACAGAAGATTTTTGGACCTGTAAATTTGTAGACCTCATCCTGGAAACATTCTTGTGTCAACATATTAAACAAGCTACGAGGATGAGGGAAGGGGACGTTCCCCTCCATGCTAGATTTGATATTTACCAGGAAGGAGGAAGAAATATTTGACATTCAGTACCTTCCTCCCTTGGGTAAAAGTGACCATGTCTTTTTGGGAATAAAGTATGCAATGCATTATAATCTGGAAGAAAATAAGAAGGTTGATGCAATTGAAAAACCTGACTTTAGGAGAGAACATTATGGCAACCTTAGAATTTTTTTTAGTGAGTATAATTGGACAGACTTGTTGCAAGGCAAGGAAGTGAATGAGATGTATGTCAAGTTTTATGACATATATGATAAAGGCACAAAAACATTTATACCAAAACAGAGATGCAGAACTAGGAAACAGGATTCGTTCAACAGAAATTGCGAGAGGGCCAGAGACCAAAAGACACAAAAATCGAATAAATACAGGAAAACGCCAAACCCCCAAACATACCAGCGATACAAAGATGCGAGAAACAACTACACGGCAGTGAGGAGAGAGGCAGAAAGAAATTTTGAAAAAGGGATTGCAGACAAATGTAAAACAGAACCAGGTCTATTGCATAAATTCATAAACAACAAATTGCAGGTAAAGGATAATATACAGAGGTTGAAAATGGGAAATAGATTCATAGAAAATGAAAAGGAAATGTGTGAAACATTAAACGAAAAGTTCCAAAGTGTGTTTGTACAAAAACTGTGTTTGTCTTCAGGGAACCAGACACAATAAGAATTCCAGAGAACAACATAGGGCACATAGAGGTGTCTAGAGACGAAGTGGAAAAAATGCTCAAGGAGCTAAATAAGAACAAAGCAGTTGGTCATGATGGAGTTTTACCATAGGTTCTGAGAGAATGTGCACCTGAGCTCAGCATTCCACTTCAACTGATTTTTCAGGCATCCCAGTTTACAGGAGTTGTAACTGATGAATGGAAAAAGGTTAACATAGTTCCAATCTACAAAAGTTGAAGCAGGGAAGACCCCCTTAATTATAGACCTGTATCATTGACAACTGTAATAGTCAAAATATTGGAAAAATAATTAAAATTAAATGGGTAGAACACCTGGAGAGAAATTATATAATATCAGACAGACAGTATGGTTTTAGATCTGGAAGATCCTGTGTATCAAATTTACTCAGTTTCTATGATCGAGCAACAGAGATATTACAGGAAAGAGATGGTTGGGTTGACTGCATCTATCTGGACCTAAAAAAAGGCTTTCGACAGAGTTCCACATAAGAGGTTGTTCTGGAAACTGGAAAATATTGGAGGAGTGACAGGTAAGCTTCTAACATGGATGAAAAATTTTCTGACTTATAGAAAAATGAGGGCAGTGATCAGAGGCAATGTATCGGACTGGAGAAATGTCACAAGTGGAGTTCCACAGGGTTCAGTTCTTGCACCAGTGATGTTTATTGTCTACATAAATGATATACCAGTTGGTATACAGAATTATATGAACATGTTTGCTGATGATGCTAAGATAATAGGAAGGATAAGAAACTTAGATGATTGTCATGCCCTTCAAGATGACCTGGACAAAATAAGTAAATGGAGCACCACTTGGCAAATGGAATTTAATGTTAATAAATATAATGTTATGGAATGTGGAATAGGAGAACATAGACCCCACACAACCTATATATTATGTGAGAAATTTTTAAAGAATTCTGATAAAGCAAGAGATCTAGGGGTGGTTCTGGATAGAAAACTATCACCTGAGGACCACATAAAGAACATTGTGCGAGGAGCCTATGCCACGCTTTCTAACTTCAGAATTCCCTTTAAATACATGGATGGCGATATACTAAAGAAATTGTTCACGACTTTTGTTAGGCCAAAGCTAAAATATGCAGCGGTTGTGTGGTGCCCATATCTTAAGAAGCACATCAACAAACTGGAAAAGGTGCAACGACATGCTACTAAGTGGCTCCCAGAACTGAAGGACAAGAGCTACGAGGAGAGGTTAGAGGCATTAAATATGCCAAAACTAAAAGACAGAAGAAAAAGAGGTGATATGATCACTACATACAAAATAGTAACAGGAATTGATA